AGAGAGAGAGAGAGAGAGAGAGAGAGAGAGAGAGAGAGAGAGAGAGAGAGAAAGATAAGATAAGATACATCTTTATTGTCCAGGGGAGGCCGACGTCACCACTCACCACTGAGCAGGCGGTGTGAGGTAAGGCCTCACGTAGACAAGATCCATGAAGGAATTGCATTAACGTTGCGACGAGGCGGCGAGCTAAACAAAGATGAAGGAACGAGTCTCTCTAGTGAAACAACACACCAGTCAACCCCTATTGTCTCTTTGAACATCTTCAATTCGGCAGAGTGTTCTTTGAACGTTGATAAATAATATTTATTTTATTGACTTGAAACTAAATGAAGATTATTGTCAGCAATCAGTCTCTTGTTCACTCAAAATGAGTTTGACTGTAACAATTGTCCTAATTTATCTGATCTCTAGCGTAGTCAATTCAAAATAAAATCCATCGTCATCTTTTTAAATGGACTTTAAGGTTAAGAATTTACTTCGGCTTTCATTGTTAACCATTGAGCTTCTGTGATCTTCACATATTATGACTCGCTGGTTACGTGTTGAAGTGACTTTATTGGACTAATTTCTGAATAGGCAGAGATCTAAACTCAACGAACAAGCTGTATCTTTATGTGTATGTTTTACAGTCTATTTAAATCGAGGTACTTGTTTTCGTAAGTCCTACTGGCCACTAATGATTTTTCAAAAGAGGCGCAAGCTATCTATATCATGTTTAGGTGCTATTATAGCTTCTTGATTCTCACTCAATGTTTCTTGCTTTTAAAGAGGCCTCTAGGGGTATTCTGTTCAATCGTCAATAGCTCCTTTTAGTTGTGGATCTTAGAATCGGTAAATTCGGAATGATCAAACAAAATTAATAAAATGTAGCACAAATTCTAAGTCACTTGTCACCTTTTGGCATCATTACGAATTGACCACACAAAGGAACTTCTCGCCTCTACGATCAGTCGGAAGTGTACTTCAAAAAATAGTATGCCTCTATTTTTTTCCCGTGGTATTTTGGACTAAAAGGTCATGACATGACCCGCGGGGAAACATTGTTTACCTTATGTGACGAGATTCAGGAACGTTGGTCTCTCTGAAGGTCTGTGGCGGATCCGTGGTTATCCCACAAGGGGGCGTAACAAAGAAATGGTCTGAGAGGATTATTATGTCTCAGGTAATCCCCCTCTTGGGATAACCTGCATTTTTGGTGAATGGATAGACGCATGAAGCAGGGAATATTCACGGAACGTTAATCTAATGCTCTTCAAAAACAGAAAAAACCACTTTTCAGAACATAAAATATACTGCTTTGTTGCTGTTATCTTGTTGTACATTTGTCGTTATTGTAGCTACTGTTTATGCTGCTGTTACTGCTAATGTTACTGTTGCTGCTGCTGCTGATGGTGGGGATGTTGCTGATATCGTTGTTGTTTATGTCAATAATGCTGTCAATGTGGTTCTTCTGAGTTTCCTAGCCAAAGTCAGTACAAATATTTAGAGACAGGTTGTTTTACGAGAAGGTCGGAGGAAATCTAGACCTCTTTTATCAATTAAAAATTTAAAAGAAAACAAACAGTTTGTGATAAAAGGCCACAAACGTGGCATTGATAATATCTAGTTTACGAGCGACAGTCACGGAAACGGAACCTTGATACAAGGAAACATGTTACTTTTGTGAAGTGCTAGATCTATTCATTTCAACTTGAATACACTATTTATGTAAAATCTAGTTATGTTAGCTTCTTTTTTGACTCAAGAACATACGTGGAAAGACGGGACCGATTTGTTTAGATGACAAGTTTCTACGTATAGTGGAAGATAGATAAGGGAAGACCCCAAAAAATTGCAACAAAGATAAAAGTTACATGGTTCGACTGATAAAACTGGGAGTACTCACGTATTACAAAGCGACATTCGACATCGTGGAGGAAATGGTTTATAAATGCGTTAAAAGTTGTAAGAAAAGCAAAACGTCTACACTTTTTCCTGATCAAAAATAAATTTGGATGATTCAAATGAAACATAACAGAAAATTTTCAACATAGTCAATTCAAATTCAACATAGAAACTTCAAACATCAAAATAGGGGGAGCTAATACAACACTAGAAAGTCCCAAAAATCCAAATAGGGCTATGAAATGTAAAAATAGAAAGTTCAACTTCAACATCAGTTCAAATTCAACACACGTATTCATTTTAAGTACAACAGGAGAGGTTGTTCAACATGGTCTTGAACACCCACCCCTTCTCTCTTTCCCCCTCTCTCCTCTCCCCCTCTCTCCTCTCCCCGTCTCTCCTCTCTCCCCCTCTATCTCTCTCTGTTTATCTCTTTGTATCTCTCTGGGACTGTCTCTTCCTCTCTCTGTGTATCTGTCTCTGTATTTCTCTCTGTATATCTGTATATCTCCCTTTCCCTCCCCCTATCTCTGTCTGTCTGTCTGTCTGTCTGTCTGTCTGTCTGTCTCTCTCTCTCTCTCTCTCTCTCTCTCTCTCTCTCTCTCTCTCTTACAATAAGGCATTATAATTTACTCAAAGTAGCTTCACCATTTGACCGACAGATACGAGGCGCGTCTGGCAGTCACACCAAGACCTGTGTCTATTTCCTTGAAATGAGTGTAACCTGGCTGACTTTCAGCTATTGAAACCAGCTCATTTTTAACTGTTTATCGAACATTATGTAAATTTTCACCTTGCAGAAACACTTCACGTGTACCGCCATTCTCTCTTTAACTTTAACCTCAAGACTTAATCTTTTCATTGTTTTGTCAGGCATGCAAACGAGATAACCGTTAGATCTAGATCTGGACATCAAACAGCGGGACGCAGAGAGTAAACAACGGACGTTGCTACGAGACAGAGTAGCTGCCCATAACTTGGAGATGATGGTTACATCCAAGACTGAAGAATACCAAGACGGACAATAGGCCTCACTTCCAGCCTAACTCGGTCCCCGTGGAAACAACGATAAGCGCGTATAAAGCATAAACAAACGACAGGTAAATAGCGCAATGTTCAACTCAAGCACTGCGTAGTACTATGATTTTCATAATATGTTTGTGGCTGTCTTGCCTTGTCTTTCTTTCATGCAAACAGGAAATTATTTTAACTGGTTTTTGTTCACGCTTTGAATAAAGAAATCTAGTGAGTTGAGAATTAAGATTTTCAGGAATGGAAAGCGGCAATGGGGTGAACATTTTCAGTGACATAATGTAGATACTAAGAGTATACGAAATGGTAATAATAGATGTTTCAGTTAAAAGACGACAGAATAATTCATTGTTCTAACAGAAGATACAATAGATGAGACTTTTCCTTTCTTTTTTAAAACAGTTTTTCTAATGATATGATGAGGTGTCAGAGGTGGGTGATATGCTATCGAAGATAGGATTTGTTGATCAAGTCACCTGAATTCCTCTTTTCTGGAAACGTCCTCTGCTCTGAGTCTGAGAACTTTGAAGACTCTCAGTGCGGCAATACAGCCTTACCTATACTATTCACTGAGCCCAATCCTCCATGTGCAAACCACCTGTATTTGAATGTACTCCGTAAAACTTGGAAAAAACAGAAAGAATGATCAAAATCTGCCCACAAACAACTTAGTTATGGTTGTTTAGAATTTTAATAGTTTGTGTTTAAAATTAAAGAAAAAAGGTGCATGACGGGCATGAGGCCCATTTTTGACGTCACGTAAATACAAGAAATTTTATTGTATTTGAATCAAAATTCTTAAACCATTAGACATATAACAATATACTGAAATCATGCTCATTTTATTTTTTTCAATGGTCTGTGACGATGAATACGGATTTTAAAAGGTGCCAAAGTGTCTCAGAGCTCAAAATCAGTGTCAGGAAAAAAGGGGAGAAAAAAACCTTCGACAAATTGTGATTAGAAAAAGTTATTAAAAACTCAATAAATTACACCACAGAGCTGTTTCGTATATCAGATTAAACTTAACTTCAAGCACAATTCATTGGGATATGATAAAATCAATCAATTCTTACAATACTTTGAGCACAAATGGAGTAACATTTTCACATTTTATGAGAAAAATTAGGCAAAGACGAATAATGCAATATGGTGTTGCTAGTAAAAACAAAATGAAAAATCATAGAATCATTCCAGATGGTATTTTTATGTATCCAATTAAGGCTCTTTTCAGCCTCTACACATTCAACTAAACTGTAGGCCTACATTACAGCCAAACATCGTTGTACTGCTCCCCTGTTGTGCGGCTATCACGGTTACCACCTTGTTTTGACAGTGTACGAAACGGAATGCCTAAACAAAGTATTTCCTCCTTCACACGCCATCCGCCATCAACCAACGGTCTGAGTTGTACGGTCCTTATTTCACTAATATTATTTTATTTACCCCGCTGTACCGCCAGCGAATTGCCCACCAGAGGTAGGCGCGCTATACACATAGTGACTGCTTGATAATCCTTTTCTCACACACGTGTCTGCAATCTCGGCGTATTTCTAGGCGCTTGCCGATTTTCTTTTGATTTGCGCTGATTATGAAATGCTATACGTTTTTTTATTTGAAAGTGGAATGAAGTTTAAAAGTCGTCTAGAGATATTTCAAAAGAGCTGCGCCGACCCGGCCTCAGAGCAAAATATCTGACATTGCCAGGTATCAGCCCAATGACCTAAGGCTGACGGGTGCCTGTGGGCCTTTTATATTGTGAGGATTCACGCTCAAATCTACATGATAGGTCTTAGCTGGTCCAAGGACAGACCAATATCGGGTTTAACAAGCCCGTACGTCTACAGGGTCCTTGACACATACAGCCTAGCTTCTTTCAGTTTGAATTTATTTAAAGTTCACCTAGAGCTGCTGTACTTAATTGACGCTTGTTTTTTCCCTGCACAGACAGATCTAGATGAGGCAAGACAGGCCACTGTTTGCCTCTAGTATCTACCAGTCTACCACTTGTCAAGATGTCAATCGGTGGTGTCCAGCTATTCCACCAACCCGGCTGTACTGCCCACTTTATACTCGTTCCAAGGTAACGATGTTTTACTGTATTTTAGAAACTTAATGGTGTATAAATATGACCACAAGTGATCTTCCAACCAACATTTAAAAAATATTAATCTTCGATTTTCAGAAAAGCACCATTTTAACCGTTTTGAGCATTGCTGAATGAGCATGCTTAAGTGTGCCTCGGAGCTCATAATCACAGTTTGTTACGAAAACCCCACTCGACTGTGTGAGTGACAGGTTGTGCTAAGAAAAAAAATCCAACTTATTACACTACAGGATTGATTCATCAGACTAAATCTTACTTTAATCGCAACGCACTGAGTTATGTTACAAAATCAATTGTTACAATATTTTGTGCATAAATCAACTAAAATTTTTCTAGTTTACAAAAAAATATAAACAAAGATGAAAAATAATATGGTGTTGCTAGTATTAAAAACCATAATAAATAACGGAATCATCCGACATGGCAGCTATATACACCAAATTAGAGCTCTTTTCAAGCTCTACACATTGAACTAAAATCATTTTACGTAGGTAGATAGGTAGGTAGGTACAGGTCTTATTCAGTGTTTGAGGTCGTTGACCCCCATCACGTAAAACATACACATTTTACATAAAGAGACTTCCTTGAAAACAGCATAAATTGTAAATAACAAACACATTATATCAATAACATCTTAAAATCATGTTGAGTTGTTAAACGTTTCCACAAATAAAATAGTAGATTTATAGGTCGTATATATTCATGTATATACATGTATACCCTTTGCCATGGGTTACCATTGTATACTTTTTATCACTGGGTTGAGTTAGGCGGGGTGGGCGGGGGGTGTGAACAATTTCATTTGATAAGCAAAGTTTGAGCAATAAAAACAAAGAGAAATTCATTTCAGTTGTACAAATGTTAGCCCTCTCACATATTACAGTGAATTTCAGCGGTAAAGATTATTATTCAATGGCAGGGTATGAACCTTAGGTTCCAATGTCGTCGGAAGTAGATGGTAATATATTATAGTCTGCTGTTCTTCGAAAAGTAATTGTAAGAGAGAATAAGTTATCCTAGCAACAGTCCTCTTCCTCTCTATTTTGCACACAATGATCAACAAGCTTAGTGCTTCCATAGCATGAAAGAAATTAAATAAAACGAGACAACATTAGAAAGTTGAATAGCAACACACACACACACACACACACACACACACACACACACACACACACACACAAACACACGCATCAAATCATACCTGTCCTAAATAGAAGAACTGAAAACTTTCCAAGTAGATTACTGAAATTGCAGAGAGGAAAATTAGATAATTCTTTACTTCTTCACACAGTCTGCACACAAAAACCCATCTTATTAGAGAGTATATTCATGTGCAGGCCTAACATATGATAATAGCAATAATAATGATAATAATAGTGATATTAATAAGTAATAATAATAATAAAACTAGATCTAACAATAATGATAATGATAATGATGATGATGATGATAATGATAATGGTATATACTCACGCTCATCATCTCTGAAACCTCTACTGGTTGCTCGTGGTAGCTCTCAGTATCCGTGAGATGAAGTTGATTGAGACTGAAGACTGGAAGAGCATAGAAGTTGTGCTCTTCTAGAAGGAAGGATGTCGCCAGCGTGTGAGTGTGCGGGTTTGAGTGGTGGATAGATTGATAGACAAAGACAGAGGGACAAAAAGTGTATTCTTATGTTATGATTTGATTGATTATTACTCGGTACACCCGTAAAATTCTTAGAGCACCATACTACGTTTGTTGTCCCAAGAGCCTAATGTAGGATATTTCTCGCAGATGAAATTGATATATGTTCTCATGGAGCATTGGACGTCATTGAATCTATTCTTGGTGTCTGGTTTGTAAGCGACCGCACAGTCCTGATTTCTCCCGCGGCTTGGTTCTCCTGAAACAGAGGGAATGAATCTGAACGGTTGCTGACCAACACAATGACAATTACATTATTTAGAGCCTGCATCAAAATCGGGAACATTTAACTGTTTGCGCGTCTGGTAGATTCTTTTTCTGTACTATCACCTGTTGCTGCTGACCCCCCCCCCCCCCCCCCCCCCCGTCTTGCCTTTTCCGAACTTTATACTGTTAATATCTGGTCAATATTGCCGTAAGACCATGGGGATAAGAAATAGGTGAAACCTCTTTGTGAAATCATCACTTCTAATTATTATGACGCTGTACCACTCAAGGTAGCTGCGAAGCCGATAAAGAAAGAAGAAACACCCGCAACATCAACATCACAACACACAACAGTCGACTTAGACTTAACAAACGAATTGAAGAAGTGAAAAATTTGAAATGGGAGGTCATCGACTTGTGTGAGACAAGCCGAACTGGAGAGGGCCTAACACAACTACCAGATTATGGCACTTGGTTATAACAAAGTGGTAAAACACAAGAGATGACCCAAGAAAAAAGGCTTTTTTTAAGTAGGCTTACATAGGTATTTCAAAAACCTAACTGAAAAATAAAATTAAAAAACATACAGACAGAATATCATGTCAAAATAGATTACACCTAAAATCCGTATGTCTAGTTCAAAGAGATGCTAATAAATTTTACTGTAGAAAAAAGACACCACATCACCAACGCTCTCTTTCAAAAAGCCCAAAACAGACACTGAACTTGGGAAATTTCAAACGGATTATACAAAAACCAAAACGACATTCAGGTGGCCATTTCTGTTGGTTTTTATTATTTTTCTTTGAATTACAGGGAATACTCCATTTTGTGGAGGTGTGTGTTTCCCCCAAAAAAGTGTGCTGGCGAGGTAAGAGAGACTGTGTCAGTAGTGTGAGTAAACAGCGACCAGAGTAAAAGAATCAGTGGATTCTTGGAGAGGGCCATTAGTAGGCCCTACCTCTTTTTTCTATCTGTTGTTTCTGTTTTCCGTTTGTTGACTGTTTGCCTTACTCTTACTCTGCACTAAAGTGACTGTTATTCATTGTCATCTAGAATATATAATTAAGTGCCACAAAAAAAAAAAAAATCGAATGGTCTGAAAATAGAATTTTTTTTTTTTTGGAACAGAAAGAGCCATACAAACACTGATATTCACCTTTTAAACAATTAAAATCGGAAAATTAATGTTAAATAAAGTTATCAAGGTTCAAATTCATTTAAAACGTAGATCGAAAAAAAATGCAGACTTTGAACAGTCACAAAATGACGTAATGACAGTACACATACTTATTAGTAATGTCTTCTTGATGTCAAGGACAACATTAAAGAATACAATGACTAAAGAAATCCACGGGCTTATAATTTCGATATTGTAGACCCATAAAATTATATGAAAAATGTTTCTCGCTAAACAGTGTTTGCCTGCAACATAAAAAAGGACACTCCCACAGATTATCTTGATAAAGACAATTTGATTTATATTGAAAGATTAGATAATAATATCAAAACCAGAAATAGCTCAATACTTAGTGTAAAAATATACGAACTATTTAAAATAAAAACAACGCAAGAAACACTCCTATAGTTTTATCCACCAGATCTAATGCTTAAGTGCTCAGCCCGAAGTGCCCGACTTGGCGGGCGTCAGGTTAGCCAACTTGTGCGCAGAAAAGGAAGAGAAAAAAGAGAGGGGGTGCTTCGCAACAGAATGTCTCTGTCGACCAGGAAAACACAGATCTCTTATATTATGTGCACCAATGTGCAGGGAAAAGATTGGCTTTTCAGTTGAGTCTGTGCGAACATCGTTTTCTTTATAAACATTGCAATGTCTGGTGATTCCACTTTTTACTTTGTTTTTCTTACAGATTCATTTCAAATAAGGATGATGATTTCCCCTCTTTTATTGTAAAAAAAAAAAAATGGTCATTTGAGTGTCTCATGGTCGACGGGTTTCGTTTGAATAACCCTACCTTCAGAAAATCTTCGTGACCAAACGTGCCGAACGCAACGATCCACCCATAGACTCTGTGGTCGTTTTCCCACAGGATTATTAATCAATTGCCCCCAATGTAAAAAGAAAAAGAAGAAAAAGAAGAAGAAGAAGAGAATAACATATTTCGAAAGAAGAAAGAATTTTGAAAAACAAATATGTAAATTTTCTTTTACGTGTCAACACAAGTTGGGAGAAAATTAGCATGAATTTGACACGAATTAGACGCTTTGCCTCGCTCGCGCGCACTTTTCCAGTGGCGAAAACTCGCACCGTTGGCGAACCTAGATACTTCTTTTTGCTTATCATCAAACACGTAAACAAAGCACACAACGAGTAGTGGACTGACACCACTGGGGGATACGGCGCTACGGTTCTGAACCATTGGCTGGCATAAATGTTGGGCACGTGCAAGTGTACGTGATTGTGTGTGTGTGTGTGTGTGTGTGTGTATGTGTGCGTTTTGCGTGTTTGTGCATGTGTGCGTGAGTTGTGATTGTGTGTGTGTGTGTGTGTGTGTGTGTGTGTGTGTGTGTGTGTGTGTGTGTGATTGTGTATAAGTGTGTGCACTGTATGAGTGTGAATTTTTTTATGAAGGGGGGGGGGGGGGGGGTTAGCTAAAGAACAGAAACTTGATATATTATGACTTCTTCCGAGATCTCGGTCAAGGAAAAATCAAAATACACTGAGGTACTGAGTGCAAAGTGTTCAACAAAAACTGTATATTATTGTTGAACCCCCCCCCCAACTCAGTTTAGTGTTAGTCCAGGTAACGGACCACCACGACAAAAGAAAGCATTCATAACGCAAAATTCACCTTTTAACCACAAGATATCCCAAATCTCTTTAGTCACCACTGTGCCGTCTACATCCCATCTCCACGTTCCCTCCTTGGCCAGATCCGTCAACCCAAGCAGGTAGAGGCCGGGATACATTGTCACTATGTCCCGGAACAGTTGGTACTTGGCTAATGTCTGGACGCCGTACAAGTGACTTCCTTTTTCTGGTAGTCGATAAAAGCGGGGAAGAAGAGAAAGAGGAATTTAAGAGTTAACATAAAATTATAAGGGAAAGTTCCTGTTCGTACCCTCTGCAGTCATCGGAACTGAAATTAAGCTAAACAATATATGAATTTGGAGAGAACGAAAAAAAGAAGAGTAAGAAATAGCGTTTGAAAAAATCAGAGAAACTTAATCGACCCACGAAGGAAATTTTGAATGGGTATACCAAAACATCAGCATTCGCACACAGCACACGTATGCACTCATAATAATATTCATGTATATACGAATACAATACACTCATATCTACTCAGAGGCAAGAGAAAACGCGAATAAATAAAGCATGAATAAAACACTGCACTCGACGGGACTTTGTCATGTGTAAATGAAATTTTCAGTCGTCTAATTTACAATGTCAATAAGTGGCTGTTTTAGTGTAGTTTCAGCCTCACTTTGTTATTACTGTGACCTTGACCTTGGGGCTGAAAGTCAGTACCGATTGTGATCTCCGTTGGCTGCAACAACTAATCTACATCTTCGACCCATTGACTTCAAGAGAGTGATTATTTGATTTAACGAAGTGACTATTCCCAGTGACACTGGGGATAGGTATAGAAACTATTCCCAGTGACAACGGAACTTTTTTGCATAAAACCCCCCAGAAGTCTTTGCATTGTAGACTCTCTTCTCACTTCAGTTCAGCCTACTTTTGTTCTCTTCTCTTACTTAGGGCTTGGACTTGACCGTAGAAAATGTCTCGATGTAGATATAGAACTAGAACTAGATCTAGATCTAGATCTAAAAGAAAGAAGAATGGGGAAGGATTTCTACCTGCCCTGTACCGTGGTCTCCAAAATCCGTATGTAGATCTTGATCTACACGGACATTTATATTACGACTGCGAATAACAAGAGAGCATAGAATGATCATTCCTTTTTCTTAAAAAAGAATTCTTACACTCACACCAGAATCAACTTTAGTTTAGTTAGATCTAGAATCTGCATTAGATATAAGTCTAGTATTTAGTAACAAATCAGCATCATGCCCATGTAGATCAGTGTGGGAACAATAGATCTAATGGGCCTGTCTGTTCTCAAAAGATCTAAATCTAGAACATGTACATTTAAATTACGACTGAATAACCAGCAAGCATAGAACGATAATTCCTTTTTCTTTAAAAAAAATTCTTCAATTCACACCAGAATCTACTTTGGTTTAGTTAGATCTAGGATCTAGATCTATAGATATAGATCTAGATCTAGTCTAGTATCCAGTAACCCATCACCATCATGCCCATGTAGATCAGTGTGTGAACAAATAGATCAAATGGGCCTGTCTGTTCTCAATATCACTGAGAATAGTTTCTGGGCCTATTCCGAGTGACACTGGGAACAATTCTGCCCTAGGTCCTCTTGCCAGTGGTTTCTGGGCCTATTCCCAGTGTTACTGGGAATAGATTCTGGGCCTATTCACTGGGAATAGTTTCTGAGCCTATCCCCAGTGTCACTGGGAATAGTGCTTTCCTTAATTTAATGTCGGTCTGGGATCTGTACGGAAGCCTGGCCGATGGCTGAAGCCAATTGAGAAGCTGTCCGTGGTCGTGTTATAGCTGGCTGAGCTGCCTCTGGATAGCCTTCCCAAACTTGCTCGAAATTTTTCAGTGGATGATCCGGATGAGGCAAAATGATAATGATCTGCTCCTAGAACTGCTGTGTTATACGGGTAGTATGAGTTGTCACGCTGGCTTGCTGGAAAAAGAAATTTAGATGCCTCTAGCAAAAGGGCACCACACGAGCGAGGCTGAAGAACTTCGTCAATGTAGTACTGATCGGTAACCCAATTTCCTTGTATTTGACCCACTTCCTGGAAGAACACTGGTCCGGTTCTTTGATGTAGAACGATGACACCCCCCCCCCCCCCGAACCAGCCTGCAACATGGCCATCTGAACCAGACAGAGGCCTGTTGAGTGCAATATCCGTAGTACGGTTCTGGTACTCAGGGTCCGCCCTGTTCTTCCGATGGTGTTCCTGGTGGTCTCCACGACCTGAAATTGCGGTGCGCGTTTTAACGATCGTATAATTTCGCGGCAATCTTAAGACTGCGCAGCGCTGCGATCTTATTATTGTGTCATTGTTGTGAGCTCTTTAGTTTCGTAATAATAAATATCTTAATCTTAATTTTCATTTTCATATTTTTCACTTTTGAAAATATACGTGAATGTTCCTTGACGCGAGTAAAAGAATAAAGAAGGAAGTGAATATTTAAAAAAATCAAGAATACGAAATAAATTAAATGTATTTGGTTAACTTTTAGTTTTATACCTTGCATTGTATCATACTTGTGAGCTCTTCAGTTTCATACGTTAATTTTAATTTTCATATTTTTACACTTTTGAAAATATATGTGAATGTTCCTTCATGTGAGTAAAAGAATAAGGATGGAAGTGGATTTCTAAAAAATCAATTAAAAATATGCAATATTAACGCAATCTTCAGATTGCCGAGCAATTATACGATCGTTAAAACGCGCAGCACAATCTTAAAATTGCGCCGATCGTCCAATTGTACATTACACGGATGTTATATACTCACTTGTTAAATCATTCGAGTAGTGAGTTTGTGTTCATGAGGTCACGTAGGCCTGTCCTACAGATCTGAAACCTCGAAATATGGAAATTCCGTTGGAAACAAAATCAGTATCAAAATGCTGAGACTTTCATTAGAAAACCGTTAGAAAGTTATTGGACTACAGATTAAGCATAGAAACAAAGATCAAGATATACGAAGCATGTGTTCTCAGCACACTCCTTTATGGATCTGAAACATGGACCTTGTACAGCAGGCAAGAAAAGCGCCTCGACATTTTCCATCTCAGATGCTGCGCAAGATCATAGGTATTTCGTGGCATGACAAGGTTACAAAAGTTGAAATATTGGCACGGGCAAACCTCCAAAGCATGACAACTATCCTGTGTTTAAAAAGATTGAGATGGCTGGGTCATGTCAAGAGAATGGACCTCAACCGGATTCCGAAGCAACTTCTCAATGGAGAACTTGTCCAGGGAAAGAGACCAAGAGGAAGACCAAAATGGAGGTACAAAGACATATATGTATATATATGTGTTTGTGTGTGACCATATATATAAATATAATATGTATATACATATATACACTTGCTTTACTTTTTTCTTTCACTTGTACCGATGGGTGTCGCGGGGAGGCACAGGCGTCTGTCTGTAGCAAGACGAGTTGCCTGTAGGAGGGACTTCCCGTGAGCTCTGAAGGTGAGTGCCACAGATTCGCTCCAGCGTCGTCTTGATATCAATCTGACTCTCCAGCCAGAATATCTGGTGTTGTATGGCCCCAGAGCTGGTTAGTTTGAAGGCATCCGTGTGATGTATCCGAAACACATGGTCCTCCGTCTCTCAATGTGTGGTAGGACTTGTGTTGCTCCTTCCACGTCTCTCATGACTTCATTTTTAAAGTCTTGTCTCGTCTTGTCTTGTTTACCTCTTTTCTTGGACATTTCATTTCACATGTGACTAGGTTCCTCTTGAGGGCTTTTGTTAGGGACTATGTCTGGCATTGATGTGTGAGCGATGGTTAAAAAAATGGCGTTGATGAACTTCGACTTGATGCTCAAGGGGTTGTTGGGATGCTTCAGGAGATGGACAAGTTGAAAGCTGACTGCATTGGCTCTCTGGCATCTAGTCTCTATTTCTCGATCTAGTTTGCCATTTTCTGCGAAAATGCTGCCCAGGTATTTGAATTCACTGGTTTGTTTCAGTTGGGATCCATTGATTTTGATATCCAGTTTGTCTGGTCTCCTGCTAAATGTCATGACCTCGGTCCTGTTAACACTGGTGTTCATGTCATATTTCTCGCAGCTCGCGTTTAGTTGGTTCATAATAATAATATGCTTCTGTAGTTGTGTTTTGTTGCCAGGTCGTCTGCAAACATGAGTTCGTTGAGTGCTTCTGGATCAGGATAGTTAAAAAAAAAAAAGACCCCACCACTCCACTCTACGCCGGGTTGTTGGAAACAACTACAACAGCAGGAATTGCGCAGCCTACATTTCCATACCCGTACTGCACCCTGCGCCTGGCCACACATCAGCTATTTTTTAACGGTTTTGTAAGTTCGGAAGCAATCCCGTGGATAGAACTCTGCGTGTGTGGGCGCCGAGTACTGATATCCGGCTGCTGCCATCTCTGCCTTATTTCAGTCCTCCTTTTTGAGCGTCTTCTCAGGATGTATCATGGTGTCACGCATTGTTGGTGGTCTGTTGTGACAAGGGTTTGATTTACTTATTTTAAAGAAAGCTAAAACAAAAACAGAACGTCTCAATGAACTGAAATGGACAACATTACGGTGACATGGAAACTACAACTATACAAGCGAGACAAAAAAAAAAGATGTTTCATTGTCACAGAAATAAAGTCCTTAATCCTTCACAAAGCTCGTCAGCAGGAATATTTTCTTTTGTTTTTAGCATTAGTAGTGTCCTATAATTTATAGCGTCAGGTACGGTATTTCACCGCACCTCCTCTGTAATCGTGCTTGAAAAAACACAAACATTTTTTATACCGGCATGGCGCTTCCTCTCCTGTTGATCTGTGTGTTTCTGTCGAGGCCTAGCCCCCGCTACACAACAGCTGGAAACGAGTATATAAACTGATCATAGGCCGAGCTCTAGATTAAAATATTTGAAAGATTAGTGTACAATGACTTTAGCAACTATAGATCCCTTTGCCTTTGACCGTTTCCTTGTCCACAGCATTGATGGCACTACTGGCACGAGGTGGCCTAAATGGCTATGGCAATTGGAACTGTTGTTGGCAACTAAAAAAACCCAAACACCTGGATACTGCTGTAATAGAAAGTGAACGTAAAGGAGTATTGTTGAATATAAAGAAAACAGAATATGTGGTACTATAAAAAGAGCAGCAAATCCTATTTGTAATCTCCGTAGCAAAGATGAAAAGATCAAACAAGTCCATCAG